GGGTCTTACAGTTAAAGGAACAACTAAAAAGTTTAATTAGGGGTAGCCAAAAATGTAGAGCTGCAACGGCAAAAGGGAGACCAACCATTTGAACTGTAAAAAACAACTGAAATAGCATCATAGTAAAAGTACATATTTAAAAGGGACACACCTTGCAACCTAGCTGGGAAAATCCCTACAACGTTATTTAATAAAACCACCAACACCCACAGCCCTAAGGTGTTCTTGCTGCACATTAATCAAGAAAAAAAGGGGGGAACAATCGTCTCCACATTAAGCAATTAAAAATATTGAAAGAAAGAACATATATTAATAACAGCAGTATTATTACAGAACACGTTTATTACTGGAGTATTTTTCTTTGTTGTACTATGCAAATAAAACCAACAATGCAGAACTCCCAAACAACAGATTCTGCAAACTCACAGACTACACGTAAGTGGTCAGGCAAAGCAGAGGCCAACACAAGCTACTACGCCTGCCACCTACACACTCAGAACTACAAAACAATGGGGTCGAAAAGCTGCATAATAGCATGTCAATACAATTACACTGGTAAAACAGACTTCACAGTATAATACTCTCAATGTTTAAAAGACATGGTACATTTCTATTTCCATGTAAATGCAAGAGAGTAAAATAGTTAAATCCTGTAAAATCATGGTACATAATCTTTTACTAACTAAAACTCAACAAAACCAAATCTTGGGAAACACTCCAAAATGCAACCCAAATGTAGAACATCCAAAAAGGAATACTGAAATTAACTTGGTTCCTTAATAGTGCATTAATGCCCATTTTTGAAAGATACAACCTCCCAGGAATATACATTAGAAGAGCAAGGTGACAACCTTGGAGGGTTGTCAGTGACTTATTGGCAGTACTGGGTGTCAGTCTCTGACTTGCAATCCTCTGGTTCTCATATTTACAATCTAGCTCACCAAAGACAAGGTTTCTATTTGAATCCTGCATCACCTTGCTTATCATAATCTTGAGTGTGAGAGAGTGAGTGAGATATACCAGAATCTCCTTACATATCATTTTCTAAAGGCCATGTAGTTAAAAGCAGGCCTAAAGTCAGGATCCACCAAACAAGTGTTTCCCATCTTCTGTATCTAGGGTTCCCAACCATCTAATCACACCCTTGCCCCGCCCCTACCCTGCCCCTTCCCCAAGGCCATGTGCCTGCCCCGCCCCTTCTCCAAGGCCCTGCCCCCACTCACTCCATCCCCCCTTCTTCCTTTGTTTGCTCTCCCCAACCCACACTCACTTTCACGGGGATGGGGCTAGGGATTGGGGTGCGGGCTCTGGGCTGGGGCAGAGGGGTTTGGAGTGTGGGAGGGGGCTCTGAGCTTAGCCTGGGGAGGGGGTTGCAGTGCATGAGGGGGGTGCGGGCTCTGGGGAGGGAGTTTTGGTGCAGGAAGGGGCTCAGGGCTGGTGGTTCAGGTGCGGGAGGACGTTCGGGGTGCAGGAGGGGGTGCAGGCTGCTGGCTCCCGGAGGGGGCTCAGGGCTCCAGCCAGGTGGCGCTTACCTTGAGCGCCTCCCAGTCGGCAGCACAGTGGGGGTATAGCAGGCTCCCTGCCTCCCCTGGCTCTGTGCAGCTCCCCGGAACCGGCCAGCACTTCCCTGCGGCCCCTAGGGATGGGGAGGCAGGTGGCTCCACACACTGCCCCTGCCCGTAGGCACCACCCCACAGCTCCCACTGGCCATGGTTCCTAGGCACTGGAAGCTGTAGAATCAGCGCTCGGGGCGGGGGCAGCACGCCGAGACCCCCTGCCCACACCCGCCTAGGGGCCGCAGGGATGTGCCAGCCCTTCTGGGAGTCGTGCAGGGTCAGAGCAGGCAGGGAACCCTGCCTCAGCCCTGCTGGACTTTCATCAGCAGTTTAAAATCTCTCAGACTGGCTTCAGTAGCCTCTGGGAGATTAAGCCCAATTCCGGGAGACTCCTGGCAAAACCGGGAGGGTTGTCAACCCTATCCATATAAAGAAAAGGAGTACTTGTGGCACCTTAGAGACTAACCAATTTATTTGAGCGTGAGCTTTACCACGTGAGCTACAGCTCACTTCCAGCTCACGCTCAAATAAATTGGTTAGTCTCTAAGGTGTCACAAGTACTCCTTTTCTTTTTGCGAATACAGACTAACACGGCTGTTCCTCTGAAACCTATCCATATAGTAACTCCTCACTTAACATTGTACTTATGTTCCTGAAAAATGTGACTTTAAGTGCAATGATGTTAAGCAAATTCAATTTCCCCATAAGAATGAATGTAAATAGGGGGGGCTAGGTTCCGGGAAATTTTTTTTTTGCCAGACAAAAGGCATTATACACATTTTAAACAAGCACTTTAATACTACAATCATCACTGTAGCAAGACAGCAAGGCAAGGCCTCTGCTGTGCACCACCGCAGCTGCTTTGCAGGCAGCTGGTGGCCTTGCAAGCGCTTGGTGTAGAGCCCTATACCCGAGCAGGGCCATTGGGCCATAAAGCAACAGTGGATCACTGGGGGTGGGGGAGTAGTGTGCACGTGTTGTGTGTTTACAAACATACGGTACACACAGTACAGTACTATAGTTGGGAGATGCCCCCGCCTTACCCCACACAGGCACAGCCCACTGGCACTGGAGACAAGGAGGCAGGCAAGGAGGCTGAAGGTGATGTAGTCTAGGAGAAGCATGCTGCGCAGCAGCAGCGGCAGCTTCCCCTACTCTGCAAGCACCGGGGGCGGGGGCTCAACCCTTGGCCCGCCCACTCCACCCCCTTCCCCCAAGCCCCCACTCTTAACCTGCCTCTTCTTCCCCCCCTCTTTACGCCACACTGCCGCATCCTCACTCCTCCCCCATCCCTCCCCTGCCTCTTGCCTGCGGCAATCAGCTGGTTTGCAGCATTCAGGAGGCAGGGGAGGGAGGGGGAGCCTGCATGCCGAGATCTCACTCCTCCCCCCTCCCTCCAAAACGCCACAGGCCAGCTGATTGCCGCAGGCAGGAGGGGGAAGGCGCTGATCCCTGCCGGCGGGCAAGAGGCACTGTGGGGGAGGGCGGGGGGGCATAGGGGAGCTGCCAGCTGTGGACCAAGCTTTGCACAACGAAGCATTGCACAACTTTAAATGGAGCACATTCTGTAATTGAGCAGGGACGTAAGATCGAAACAACTTTAAGCGAGAGGACATTAAGTGGGGAGTTACTGTATGTGTATTGTCTGTCTTACAACCTGAATCTATTTCCTTGCATAACTCAAATGCTCATGAGGCAAATTAAACATGAACGGCACAGCAGGAGAAAAGCCTTCATTAGAGATGAAAAACAAAAGACTGGTCTAGTAGATGCAGAGGAGGGGAAGATAAGCAACCCACAGGCCTGGCCTGACAAACTACAGATTTCAACCAGCTGGATGGGAAAATGTTGTAAGAATAATTTTGGGGTAAGAAATATGTTGCCAAATAGGAGTTGAGTTTAGAGGCTACACTGCAAGTTACATAAACCCAAGTCCAGTAAATCTTTAAGTTTGTTTCCAGTATTTCTGTGTAAATATACTTGCTTTCTCTAATCTCTGCTATCATATGAACCTCTATAAAGAAACCTAAGTACAGTGTATTAGGCAAAGGTGCTCTAACCTGTAACTAGTAAACTAGGGTGTACAATTCCTTTGTAAATGGCCGCCCTGGTAATTCAGTGACTGTCCAGTACATAAGGGCCTGGGACACTATAGAGAGACACTCAGAGTACCTGGGGTGTGGAGTATGCCTATTGCTAGACTGCATCAAGGACAGCAAAGCACACACGGACTGCAAATGAAGTGCTTCTATTTCTTGGGGCTAGGAGAGGCAAGGAGCTGACCCCAGGCAGGCACATACAAGGCTTTCTCCAAACCCTGTGTATCCCTGAGAAGCATCACACACGATTTAAAATGTGCAAAATGAGACAGAGAAAAAAAATCATACCTTTAGAAAACATGACCTATGACAAAAGGGGAAAGGTTTAATCTAGACAAAAGACAGCTCAGGGGAGGATACAGAAAGTCTTCAAATATATAAAAGATTCTTCTAAAGAGGACACTGATCAGCTGATTACTTGTGCTCCTAGCCTCTGTGGACATGGAGAGCAGGTGATTTCCAACAAGGCAAAATGAACTCACCTATTAACAGAAAACTTTCTAACTATAAAGGTAGTTAGCACCAGAATAGCGTGCGTGAGGATGTTGTGAAATGCCCATCACTGGAGCTTTATAATGACAAGTTAGGTATTTGTCTACCAGGAATGGTCTAGATATACTTATTCCTTCTTCATCATAGTAGAAAAAGACTGTGTTACCTCCTGAAGGTCCTTCCAACCCGACATTTCTAAATGTCTGCAATCTGCTTGCCTATAGCACCACTGTGCTCTTCTAGAAACATTGTAAAGAATGCTTTGCCGATTAAATTCTTGACAAACTGAATTCTGCCCTATAATAACTACAAAAACGATATACCTTGCCCAGCATGCTAGTGCTGAGTTTAGAGGTAAGCAGTAGCAGCTTAAATCTTCAAAGAGCACTAACAGCCTAAACTTGTGTGTGTTATGAGATTAAATAGTTCATGGCGTAAATATGATGAATGCAGAAAATCCAGTTCAAACCTGCTTTGCACATGAAGGAACCTGTTGACAGGGATGCGGTGTCCCATAATCCTTAGCCTAACCCCATGCAGAGCACAAGGAATACCAGCCATGCCACAGAAACAGACACGGTGTAACCTCTGAGCAAGAGAAACGCACTTCTTTGATAAAATCTAGCACACTATCCCTTACTGAGCAAGAAGTCCATAACCTGGTCTGCCACCTCTTAACCCTCACCCTTTCAAACTGCTTTGGGATACTTTGGATACAAAGGAAATTGGTGATTTAATTAGGACTCCTTCCCCTCCCTAACAGAGGTTATAGAGGCTTTCATTTAAGCTCTGAAACACTGCAAACATTCTCTCAGCACTTCCACGTAGGATTCATACAAGGTTTATGTGCTTGGCAACATTCAGGGTACACCCAGAGTGTTGTGCTGGACCTGTGCACACACAGCTCCTTTCAAGGGCATCAACCTTGGAATCTCGCCCAGATGTCGTGAATCGTGGGAAGCCTCCCAGGACTGGGCTCAAGGCCCGAGAGCAAGGAATGCGGTAGATAGAAACTGGTAAATAAGAATGTTAAACAAAGCCAGTGTATTCCTTTTATCTGTTGGAGAATGTAATGCGAGGGGGGAGAGAAAGAATAAAGGGGAAGGTGGAAAACTGACAGGCAGAAGCCTGTTAGCAGACCAGCCGCTTGCTCGCTAAAAGCTCTGTGCTGTCTTGCTATTGAACCGCCGCAACTGGCGCCCAACATGGGGCCCTCAGCACTCACCTCGCCCGGCAAGGGTTTCAGACGCGTCACTCATCCGCTTCGTGGATCCCGGTGAGTATTTTTCATTGTGGTAAGTATGGGAAGCTCCCTCTCTGCTTTGCAAGTGCAACACTGCAGTGAGCTACAGTATTTGCTGTGTAAGGCTCAGCATGATTGCCCCACTCGAGAACTCACTCTCCTGCTACAGGAGGTGAGTGCCCAATGCCCGTGGTATCCTGAAGCTGGAACCCTTAAGCTAGCGGACTGGGAGCGGTTGGGCCAGACATTGCATAAAGAGCCTCGGGCGCCCGTGCAGGCTCTACATGCCTGGCACCTCTGCCGCGACGCGATACAGCGTGTCGCCTCGGACAGGCCCTCCCTCGCGAGGCTGGTGATCTCGCCACGCCCGTCCGCTCCTGCAGCCATCCCCCCTCCTGGCGATGCGACACAGCGTGTCGCCTCGGAAAGGCCCTCTCCCGCGCCAACAGAGGGGCTGCCGATCCCGCCACCCCCGTCCGCTCCTGCAACCATCCCTCCCCCTGCTTCGCCCCCAGTGCCTCTATTACCACCGCCTCTCTGGCCTTCCCCACTGGAGCCGGTGTGTGATCACCATCCCACCGTGGTGCCCCATGTTCCGGGGCCCCCCGGAGGGTCGTCCGCGTCTGCTCAGCGGCTTTCGCTAGTGCAACAAATGGTCCATGCAGCGAAGACTCGCTCAGATCTTACAGCAGAGGAGCTGGCTGAGCTGGTCTCAGTTTGTCCGGTGACCTGGCAGGATGATGGCCAGGGCAACCAGGTTGCAAACTGGGTCAGTTTGCCTTACTCAGTGATCAGAGAGGTAAAGAAAGCGATTCGCGAGTTCGGTCTGACCAGCATGTATGTGCGTGGTCTCATTGAAGGGCTAGGTTCTGGGTATTCCCTGGTCCCTGAGGACTGGAAGGCGCTGCTGCGCATGATGCTGACACCTAGTCAGTATGTTATTTGGCTTAGTGAATTTCGCCAAATGGCGGAACGCCAGGCCCAGGTGTATAGAGAGCAAGGTATCATTTTTGAGCACTTGGCAGGGGAGGGCCAATTTGCTACTGTCCAGCTGCAGTCTCAACTCCCTCGGGCCGTCTTCCCCATTATTTCCACGTGCGCCCAGCATGCTTTCCGGAAGCTCCCGGATTCAGGCAAGCCTATCAAAAGCTTTGCCAGTATCCATCAGGGTGCATCAGAGTCCTTTATGGATTTTACCAACAGATTGCAGGAGGCTATCCTACGACAAGTGGATAACCCTGCGGCAGCTCAGGAAATCCTGTTAAAAATGGCAGTTGAAAATGTGAACGAGGATTGCCGCCGTGCTGTCCAGGCTGCACAAGCCTCTGGAATTCTAGAGCTCTCAGATATGCTGCGGGCGTGCCAAAACATCAGCACCCAAGCCCATAAGGCTGGAGTTCTGGCTGCCGCCCTGCGGAAAAGCGGGAAGGAGGGGAAGCGTTGTTACCGCTGTGGTAAGGAGGGTCACTTTCAGTGGGAGTGCCGCTCCTCGGCGGCGCCCGCCCGCCCCTCAAAGAAGTGCTCCAAGTGTCGGAAGGGCTATCGCTGGGCTAATCAGTGTCGTAGCGGGTCGGGAAACCGCGCGACGGGTTCCCCCCAAACCCAGGGCCAAACGGGGGTGTTTCCCACTCAGACAACTGTTCCTCTGCTTTAAAACCCATAGACTCCATGAAGGCGGCGACTGCCGGAAGCGCAGGGCTTGATTTGATTATGCAGGAGGACGCTGATTTTTAGTTGCCGGGGGAGGTTTGCGCCATACCTACCCAGGTGACAGGACCTCTCCCTGCCGGATTTGTGGGTCTGGTTCTCCCTTGCTCACACGCTGGGAAACAGGGCTTTTTTGTCATCCCAGGGGTCATTGACGCCGATTACAACGGCGTTATTAAGGTTCAGGTGTGGACCCATCTTCCGCAGTCGCTCCCGTGTGGACGGTCAATTGCGCAATTGATTTTAGTCCCCTATCAGGTGCCAGCTGCAGAGGATCGAGCCCGGGGCAGAGGCGGCTTTGGATCGACGCTGGCTCAGTCGCCATCTCACAGCACGTCCTCTCCACTTGTTGCTCTAACAATGTCGGTCCGCCCCTCGAAACCTCAGTTAACACTTCTCTTACATAATGTTCCTTTTACAGGGCTGGTGGACACTGGAGCTGACGTTACGGTGATTCATGATCCGGAGTGGCCGGTCGGTTGGCCAACAGTTCCTTCTAAAGAGTTGTGGGGGATCGGGGGTAGCAAACCCGGGCGCCAAAGTTTGTCTTGGGTCATGGTCTCTAAACCAGGAGGCCATGCCCTTGCTACAATCCGCCCTTTTGTACTCCCTGTCCACCTCAATATTTGGGGCCGTGACTTACTTACAAAGCTGGACACCACCCTCGATATTAATATATAATGGCCCGAAATCCTCCCTCACCCACCTTGCCATCCGCATTACCATTAGTATGGCAATCCTTAGAGCCTGTATGGATTGACCAGTGGCCCCTCCCCCTAGAAAAGCTGAAAGTGCTTTATTCACTTGTACAATAATATTTGCATGCACAGCGCTTGGAGAGCTTTACTAGTCCTTGGAATTAGCTGCTGTTATTTTGGCCTTTCAATTTTTTGCTGATTGTCCCTTTAATTTGATCGTGGACACGCATTATGTTTATCAGGTAATTGATCATTTACCCCTTGCCCTTATTACCCCTCAGGTCGATGCGGACCTTCTTCGCCTGTTTTTGTCCTTACAGTATCTCATCACCACTTGTAATTTCCCTTATTTTGTTGCTCAGATTCGCAGTCATACCCCTCTGCCTGGACTGCTTACTGAGGGCAATGCGCGCGCCGATCGCGCGTTACGTGGTGAGGTAAATTCCCTTTTTTCTGACCCCATTGAAAGCCATGCCTTTTTTCATCAGTCTGCCTCTGTTTTGGCCCGGCAGTTTCACATTCCTGCTGATCATGCACGTTCTATTGTTCGTTCCTGCCCCCACTGTGCCGCTGCTGCCCCTACCTTTTTTTATGCCGTTAACCCCAGAGATGCTGCGGCGAATCAGCTGTGGCAAATGGATGTCACTCATGTGCCACAATTCCGCCCCTATTAGTTTTTACATGTTTCCATTGATACCTATTCGGGATTCCTTTGGGCAACCCCACAGCGTGGGGAAGCCACTCCTAAAGTTATTCACCATTTGCTAGCCTGTTTTGCTGTTATGGGTCGCCCGAGCCAGATAAAAACAGATAATGCCCCAGCCTACTGCTCCACAGCCCTTTCCACCTTTTGTGTCCAATGGGACGTCCGTCTCACACACGGGATCCCTTATAATTCCACTGGCCAAGCCATTGTTGAACGTGCAAATTGCACGCTAAAAACCTTGCTCGACAAACAATTAAAACAAGGGGAGCTGCGTCTCCGAACCTTAGGAGACATTCAGCAACAATTGCATATCCTTTTGTTCACTTTAAATAATTTAACACTGAACGCAGATCAGCAGACCCCCACGGATCGGCATTTTCACAAATCCGAGGTACTGGAAAGACCGCGTGTCTATTACCGTCAGCTGCCTGATCCGCAATGGTTGGGCCCAGTGCCTCTAATTACTTGGGGTCGGGGATATGCTGCTGTGTCTCTCCCTGCAGGACTCGGCTCGGTATGTGCGACCGGCACTGAAACAGCATGGCGTGGCACCAGGGGCTGTCGAACCCCATACCGGAGTTTCAGCTGACCTTGGAAGAGAACGGGGTGCCTCCCGGGTCGACAACGGCGGGATGGAAATGGAGGAGGCGTAGCGTCCCAAGCCAGCCCGTGACATGGGGAGCAGTAAAAGCATTGGTCGCCGCGGCTCAACGAAGACTGGCAGCAAACCAACAGCCAGAGACTTCTGAGACTTCGTTTGTGGCAATTCTTGCCCAAATTACTGCTAATTCTGTATTGATTGCATGCCTTTTGTGCCTGCTATTTCCTGTAGGGGTTGGCTCGGGAGCACTTTCTCCGTTACGAGCCCAAATGACATATAACCTATGGGAAAGATTCGCTTCAATAGCAAATGTTACCCACTTTTGTTTATCTGATTTTGTAGCAGCTGAAGAACTGTTAGGTACATGCCTTATTCCAGTATGTCATCACCCTGAGGAAATTGGAAATGAGATGATGCTCGCTGCTTACTCGAACCTCTCTTCCCAGTATTCTAGCATGGCTAATTGGGGCCCGGCCAATTACACTTTACCTTCTTAAGCTCATTTTTTGCTGTTGCTGTGTGCAATGTATTTCCTTTTTGTTAAGGCTTTGTCGAGACCCGCCCTGGCAGGCTCCACGAGTTATGACCTTGTCTGTGCAGGAGTTAATTGGCTTGCAAAAGCAAATTGATGGCTACCATGAGATGGCCGAGCACAAATAAACAAAAAAGGAGGGGATGTAGGATTCATACAAGGTTTATGTGCTTGGCAACATTCAGGGTACATCCGGAGTGTTGTGCTGGACCTGTGCACACACAGCTCCTTTCAAGGGCATCAACCTTGGAATCTCGCCCAGATGTCGTGAATCGTGGGAAGCCTCCCAGGACTGGGCTCAAGGCCCGAGAGCAAGGAATGCGGTAGATAGAAACTGGTAAATAAGAATGTTAAACAAAGCCAGTGTATTCCTTTTATCTGTTGGAGAATGTAATGCGCGGGGGGGGAGAAAGAATAAAGGGGAAGGTGGAAAGCTGACAGGCAGAAGCCTGTTAGCAGACCAGCTGCTTGCTCGCTAAAAGGTCTGTGCTGTCTTGTCATTGAACCGCCGCACTTCCACAATTTTGAAGAAACAGACACAACCAGACTTTGCTCATCCATATTCATTAACAGACAGGACGTTCAAGTATTAATGCACATTGAGCTGTTTGCACCAGGTTTCCTCTCTGACACTTCAGCCCGTGTTACACCTATCCTAACCCCTCAGACAAAGCAGCAGGCCCAGGATAAACTTGTAGATTTCCTCTCTAGCACTGGGATATTTGCTAGTGCAGAGACCACTACCGCTACCCCACCCGTACTCACATGCCCCACAGCCCTTGGTGTGGCAGCTTATGCTCTTGCCTTGTCCTGGGCGCCTCTGTCCTCAGCCTGTGGTGTACTATGTCCTGCAGCAGCATCTGCTCCAGCCTTGGCCATTTGCCAGGATAGACACCACCCCTCTTGGCAGATGCCCCAGGAAAACACTCTCCTATTTTGGTATGGGCGTTGTAATGCTAATATTGTCACTTGATATATCTTTTTATAACAAGCCATGCAACAGGGACTACAAGGGCAGAAAAAACACCATGAACACAGAGGTAGACATTGACAAGGTAGCTAAAGAGAGATTGGTGACATCATCAATCTCACACAAGCATGTAGGACAGTATGACTTTATTTTGTGGTTAAGCTCTCTACAACCTATCCCCACAGAACTCCAGCTTGAAGACGGAGCAAAGAAGGGCTACAGACACAGATACCCAACCCTAGCCATCTCTGGACTCTGGACTCATCCCGGATTGTCTCCCAAATCCCGAGCATTGTTCAGCATATCTCCTGTCACATAACTCGCTAAGCCTGGCCTCAGAATCTGTCTTCATATTGCTGTCGTCCTCCCCCTTGGGGCTGCAGTTCTGCTCCTCAGATTTGTCATTCCTCAGCAACACACCATCATGTCACCTTCTGCTGGAAGACACACCTCACCCAGAGGAAGGAAAAAGCCTCCATAACCAGAGCACACCCAAGCCAGGGAGGAATTCTCCCACCCACACCACAGCTCCAAGGACAAGCTAATCACATTTCAAGCATCCTCCCCACCAAACTATACACTTGAAAGGTCTGAAAACAATTTAAGAAGCTCCATCACACAATGCACTTTGGTTGCACTAAGTCAGCTTCTTTAGTGGTCTGTCACTGAACAAAAAAGAAACCCAGGACAGAGCACCTGATCTGACCATTCCACCAGGCTACAGCATACCTTCCAAAATCCAAGGACCAGGACAGCCCTACACCTAACAGAATCAGGAATGGACTACATCTGAAAATAAATTAGCACAGCGGTTCTTAAACTGGGATCTGTGGACCACTGGGGGTCCATGAGGATACTCCAGGGGGGTCCGCAAGTCATGTCCGGGGCCGCCAGACCCACTGATCAACTCTCCTCCCCCTCCTTCGCAGCACCTCTTGCACACCATGGAACAACTGTTCAGCGGCATGTAGGAATGGGAGAAGTGGAGGGAGCGGAAAGAGGCAGGGAAGAGGAGGATTGGGGGTGGGGCCTTGGGGGAAGGGATGGAGTGGGGGCAGGGCCTGGGGCTGAGCGGGGTTTGAGAACCCCCAGGGAAAAAATTAGAAGCTGGCTTGGGGGTCTGCAAAATTTTTTAAATCAAAATGGGGGTCTTCCAGTTGCTAAAGTTGAAGAACCGCTGAAATAGCACATAATGACCAGTGTAGCTCTGGGCACACCAGGTCCCATATGCCAACCCCTGACAGTACCATAGGCTCAGCATAAGTCTGACGTATTTACCACACAGAAAATGATCCATGCTGTCTGATCTTGGAGTGCAAACTACTCTGCCCTGCCAAGAGGCGTTGCCCAAGATGTTGCTGTTGGGAGGGCACGACAGCCTGGACAATGACAAAAAAAGGCCATCATGACCTCAAACTCTCACAAACAGCCCAGAGCAACAGGATCTCCCCCACAGACACACAGCACTACAGTAGCCAAGCAATCTGCACATCAGCCCTCAGGGCAGTACACCTCCATGGCACCATTCACATCCTAAGGAGATGGGATTTCTCTCTCTCTCTGTTTTCATCCATCTAGACTGTGGCTTATTAACAACAGAAAAGATAATGACCCTACCAGTCTTGGCAAACCTGCTGAAGGAGGACCTCAAAGAGGGGTCACAGGTAGCCAGGCAACCAAGAAACAAGCATGCTGCTGGCCTCAGATCCCCAAGAGTAACCAAAATGCAAAAGGGAGAAGCAGCTTTAGTGAGTGAACTCACCGGCACCTGCCTCCAGGGCCGGCCTTATGTAAAATAATCCCCTAGGCCAGGCTGAAGGTGGAGCAGAATTGGGGGCTGGAGCTGGGCAGGGCTGGAGCTCGTCTCAGGGCACAGCTGCGGGGTGTGTGTGGGGGGGTGGAGCACCAGTGCAGAAAGCACAGGGGGTAGGGGCAGACTGCAACTGCAAGCCCCTGCCTGCCTCTCAGCCGTGACAATGGGCCAGCAATGAGCTATTACAAGCCCTAAACACACACATTCCACAATAGAAAACCTTAGTAGCCCACAGGGCTAACATCAGACTCACTGGGGCTGTAACCTGGGGTCCTGGCACTCAATTAGGGTCAACTGCAAAGAACGGGGGCAGACAATCCCCAAACCTGGGGGATATTCCAATATTTAGTAGCGTTCCCTCTCCACCTAGTTACCTTATCTAATGCCAATCTGCTTACAGGTTTTGATGGACAGGTCTGGGTTCTTCTGGATCCCGCCACCCACTCAGCAGGGCGTATCTTCTTTATTGTTCCCTATGAAGTTACTTGGCCGTGCCCTGGTCACCAGGGCAGCTTGGGAGGGAAATTCTAACCACAGGGTAACCCCCCACTTACTTGCCAGAGAGTTGGAGACTCCCAAGAAATAACACAAATACATACAATATATTCAGCACAGTAATTGTATTACACAGGAGACAAACATAACATAACAGAGTAAAACACTATTCTTAGGCTCATCGGTGCCCACACTGATAATACCCATGACTTTCTCCAGTCACGGGACCTGATGTAGCAAATGTAAGATTAGCATCCCCTTGGTACTGTACTTTGTTGGGGCCCTTAATGACCTATGACCACGATATCTTCTCTGCAGTGGTTTAGCAGTGTGGCTGACTGGGTTCAGTACAGCCCAAAGGACTCACAAGTGGGAGGAGGTGGTAAATCCCTCCACAGGTTTAACACGCGGGAGGTTATAAAATCCCCAAACCCTTACTCCCTGGCTTGAGGACACAGTTCAGGGAGTATGTGGTCCCCAAAACAATTTCCCTGACTGACTAAAAGATGGTGCACTCACAACCTCCATGAATGATCCTCAGGTTCAGAGATGACTCTGGGCTCCACGGTCACTGCAGAGGGGCTGATCTCTGCAGGCAGGGATCAGGCTGCTTCTGCTCTCAGGATTTCCCCTCACCACAAAGGGGTGCAGGGCTCAAGGTGCAGATTACACAACTGTACTAAAATCCAAATTGTAGCCTCCTACCCCAGAGTCCAGACACACTCACAGCAGGAGCAGGGCCGCCCGGGCAGGGGTGGGGGGGAGAGGGAGGGGGAACACCACCACGGGACAAGTGGGGCAATTTGCTCCAGGCCCCGCAGGGGCCCCCACGAGAGTTTTCAGGGGCCCCCCACAAGACTTTTCGGCAGCAATTCGGCGGCGGGGGATCCTTCCGCTCCATGTCTTCGGCAAAGTGCCCTGAAGACCCAGAACGGAAGAACCCCTGCTGACAAAGACCCCAGGCCCCCTGAATCCTCTGGGTGGACCCTGAGCAGGAACAGCCCTGGACTAGCAGCCAGAGCAGAGCTGACTATGTGGTGACTGGTCTCCCCTAGGGAGCTGGGAGGCGAACTCAGCCTGGCTGGGGAACTTTCCCAGCAAAACTCTACAAACTGGGAGTCATCAGTGGAGAGGGAAAAGCCGAGCTGAGGGATCTTGCTTTGCACCAGATTTAGGTCCCAAGGGGGTACCGGATCCCAGACATGGGGGTAGAGGCGCTCCAGGCCCTTCAAGAACTGCACCATCATAAGGTGGGCAAAGACTGACCTGCCTTGAAATGGAGGTTGGAATGCCGAAATGGCCATCAGATGCACTTTGACTGAAGACAGCGACAGGCTCTGGAGCTTAAGGTGCAGGATGTCTTGCAGCAGGGTCTCCTCTGCAAGGATGGGATAGCTTTGGGGAGGGATAGCTCAAGGGTTTGAGCATTGGCCTGCTAAACCCAGGGTTGTGAGTTCAATCCTTGAGGGGGCCATTTAGGGATCTGGGGCAAAAATTGGTGATTGGTCCTGCTTTGAGCAGGGGGTTGGACTAGATGGCCTCCTGAGGTCCCTTCCAACCTTGATATTCTATGATTCTATGATGCGATGGTCCAAGACCTAACAAGTAAATCGCTTCCACTTTGCCACATAGGTGGCTCGGGTAGAAGGCTTCCTGCTGCCCAGCAGGGCTTGCTGGACATCAGTGGAACATCACTGCTCCTCTCCACTCAGTCACGCAACAGCCAGACTGTCACATGCAGCGCCACAAGGTTCGGGTGCAGCAGACTGCCGTGATTGTCGGACAGCAGATCCAGCCCAACAGACAGCTGCAGGGAGATTGCTGTCGACAGACTCAGCAGCATGACAAACCAGTGTTGTCGTGGCTACGATGGGGCCACAAGGATAACCTTGGCCTTGTCTTGCTTGACCATCAGGAAGACCCTGTGGATCCAGGGTACCGATGGGAAGGCGTACATCAGCACTCCCGACCACGAGATCAGGAAGGCGTCCCACAGGGAGCCCTTGTCTCTGTTCTACAGAGAGCAAAACACAGGGAACTTCCTGTTCTGCC